CCGGGGCTTGACCCTCAACCGCAGCTACCTGGTCGCAGCTGAGTCTCCTGGTGAGACTGGAGGGGTCCCGGGGGGTGTCCCGCGGGGATGCCAGTGCCAGCTGACTCCCTGCCTGCTCTGCAGGGCCCATCTTCACCCACGTGTGGGTCCCTGAGGCACGGGCTATCGAGGTGTGGGTGCCCGAGGGTCCTGCTCTCATGGTGCGGCTGTGCCACCAACTGGCCTTGGAGTGTGAGGAGCTGCCCCAGCATTTCCACCAGCGGGTAATGGCTCTGCCCCACGACATCCTTATCTGAGACTGGGGGGACACTCCTTGCCAGCTGACAGTCCCTCCGTGTTGCAGGTGCTGGTGCCAGGTGGCCACCGTGTCTCACTGCCATATGAGTTCCTGGTGCCTTGCCTGTGTGTCGAGGTGGGTTGCCCTCCCCTGGGGCCCCTGTAGCCCCTCCGTCTGCCCACGTAGGAGTGGTGGGGGCACATCCTGCCCTGACTACTCCACTCTGCTTCCCCAGGCCTCCTACCCCCACCATGACAGCCCACGGAGCAAGGACTGCCCCTTCCTTGACCAGCCAGCTGCCTGTGAGTGCCCATGGGGAGAGGAGCTGGGTCCTAGGAGTGTCCCCCAGCCTTCCCTCAGCCTGCTGACATGGTGCTCTGCAGATGGCCCTGAGCTGTGGTCCTCAGTGCGCTTCCATGACTACAGTGCCAGCAGCAAGGACCAGATGGCAATGGCACTGAGTGCCAGCTGCCCCCTGCACCCACGGGCCACCCTGTGCTGGAGGGAGGTGGCAGATGATGCTGCGCCCTGCCACGACATCCCCAATTCCACAGCCAGTGAGGAGGAGCAGGTGGGGGGTCCTGGACTTGGGATAAAATGGGATGCAGGACCCTGCCCCCAGATGGGGCACCCACTGGACCCCAGTGTCCCCCAAGTGCAGCAGGTGGGCACTGGGGTGCCTGTGGACTGTGTGGATCAGGGATGGTGACAGTGACACATTCTCTGCCCATTCCAGGTGTACACACTGGACAAGGTGGACATGCATCCTCAGCTCTGCTTCCGAGTAAGCCCCTGTGGGTGGGCACTGGCTGGAAAGGTGCTAGGGGGCTGTGGTGGGCCATGGCAGCTCACCCAGCCCCTCTACTGATACCCTCTTCCTCCAGTTCTCCTACGAGAACAGCAGCCATGTGGAGTGTCCCCACCGGCCAGGTGAGCCCCATGGGAGGAGACACCCCTGGGCTGAGTACAACCCTGCCCTGGGGTCCCTTGCAGCCCTCACCCTATTCATCATCCTGCAACTTCTCTCTCTGGTGGCTGCAGAGACTGCCTGGAACGTCTCAGTGAGCATCTGGGGGCTGCAGCTGCGCCTGCACCTCACCTCTCGCATCCCTGCGGCCTTCAGCGCAGCCCTGTGCCAGCGCCGGGGTGGGCAGTGCGAGCCCGAGGCTCCTGTCTACACTGTCACACAGGTGAGTGGTGCGGGGCTTGGGGAGCACATGGTGGGGACAGATCTGAGCTGACCCTTCCCTTGTGCTTTGCAGCCAGAGGGCTCTGC